TTTGATATTTCGTAGTTCTTGGCATTGAATTTCGCTTTAACCCCAAATTTTATGTTAAATCAAATATTATAACTGATATGCATATTTTCACGATTGTTTATGCGTAACTATAATTATATAAATCCTTATTCATTTATTTTTACTCTCTATTTAATACTCTTTTGGTAAAAAGAATATTTTAGATAAAAACACAATAGATCATTATTTTTATTAAATGAGCAGTAAAAATCATCTTTTTCTATTTGGAATGATTTAGTAGATGAAAAAATAGTCTTATTAACATATAATGAACTTTGGGAGAGAATAGAATTATTATATGCAAATAAATCAATGAATGGATATATAATACTTGAAAATAAGGATTTTTTAAAAGATTTTATGGTTATGAACACTAAAATAAGTCTTAATTAATATTTATAAGAGAGAGTGAGAGATAAAACAAGAGAGTGTTAGATAAGAGTTATACATATGATAAAAAAGGATAGATTTATAGTGAATTGTTTGATAAATAAATTTGTTGATTTTAGAATTACAATAAAATTTTCAGAGTGTTAAACATCTGTAATGTAATAATGTAATAATAATGCTTATTTGAGAATATTATAGAAAATAAAAAAGATTAATAAAAAATTATATTACAAGGAGAATTTGAGAAACTTACTATATACATCATATTATATTAAAGAAAGGATTGTTGAATAGGTAGAGCAATTGAAATATTATAAATTGAGATAATTTATGGATATTATTTTAAAAAAAGATGATATTCATATTAATTTTGAAATTAAACAATTTTCAACAGTACTTCCATTATTTTATACATTATTATTTTGTTTAATGAAAATTTATGATATAACAAACATTTCTTTAAAAGAATAGAATACAAAAAATATTTAATTAATAATATATGGAAATGATTTGGACATACCTATTCATCAATTTAAAGTTTGTAAAAAGATAGTCAGTCATTTATTATATTAAATAGGATAAGATGAATGTGATTATTAATAGAATTTTTGTTGTTTGACTTTAGTTAATCAACCAGATATAATGGAGTAGACTTCAAAAAATGAATAATTAGTAACATTCAGTAATATTATGTGAAAGAATTTATATATTATATTATTTTTGATTTATAAATGTGAATATTCTTTCATAATCCTTTAGCCCATCCCAAACTTTACATAGCTTCAATTCTTAAGTTTTCATTTTACTAAGTAGTAAAATTACTTTATGAGTGAATGTGATCATATACTTAAGCAGCTTTCAAGACTGTATTGGCAATTACTTGATAGGCAGAACTATATCCAGTTAATTAAACACTATTGAATCTATTTGCCTAAAATGATAAAATGAATAAGATACTAATTCTGTAGGGACAGAGTTTTAACTTAAGGCTAAGGTTTTTTATAAGATAGGAGCATATTATTTGGCATAAAAATATCTAAGTTTTGGATCTTAATAATGTTCTAATAAGGAATAAGCAATTTTATTTGGAATTGTGGACATGACTAATTCTCTAATTAGATATAAAAGATGATAATTACGGATATACAATTCCATTATATGCTATATTTAAGTCATTATCAATGCCATTATATAAGGATGTGTAATACATTTAGATAGTAGGTTTAGGATCGAGGATAATCTAAAAAATATATAAATAAAGAATTAATTACAGTTGGTAATTAGAAGGCAGCACATTCAGCAACTATTTATCCATTACATGCTAAACCAATATCTGAAGCAGCAAGAGCTGAGAATTTTTCAGATTCAGTTTAAACTTGAATGACTTTAGCTGGCCATTTAATAGAATTGATAACTTTGATTGTTCGATCCTTGTGTTCAACAAATTCAGGAACTGATACTATGATTTTAATTTAATCAGATGGATAATTCTTCATTTCATCAAGTTTGAGGAATCTTGAAATACCTTCAGCTACAGTTTTAAGACAGAATGGTATTTCTTTAGATGTATTACCACCTGCAACAAATATTAATAATTCCTAATCTCCAATATTTTATTATTATCTATATTTCTTTCTTTATTCATTGATTCTATCTGCAAGGAAATCATCAAATCTAAAGAATTCACCTCCTGGAAGATATATAGTATCATTTTAGACTAAATCTTTATATTAAGGACTATTGGATAGTAGATGTCTAAATGCTCTATAAAGTCCATCTGGTCCAACTTATGTATGAGGGAATGTAAATTTTTCCCAATTACTCTTTAATTAAATAATTATGATATTATACTTGTTTCATTGGAGTTCTTGTGAACCAATGATCTACATACTTTTAACCATATTGAGGTTAATCTTTATGTGTTAAACCATATTGGAATGTAGGAGGACAAATACGATTGAAATGACGATAGGACTCTCTTAATTTCTTATAGAATTGAATCATGAAGAATTCATTTTCGAAATTCAAGAATGCTGATGGTTGATAATGTTAAACAATTTCGAAGTATTACTTATCAAGTTTATTCAAAACTTTTTTATTGATCCATCTCTTGTACATATGGACTGGATGCATTGCATTCTCAGTACTAACTTAGCAATAGAGTGTACGCTAATCTATAGAAATTTCTAAATGGAAAGAATGGTTTATATTGGAATTCATGATAATCTACTCCAATTGTTTCTAATCCTTCATGACCCATTTAAGGACCTCCAATACCAACAAAACGGAATTCAGTGTCTGGTTTGGCTACCTTAATGGCTGACATCACACGTGCCAAATGTACATCTGTTGAAGGACAAGCAGCAGACAAAAAAATCGTAGCTTATTTCATTAAATATTAAATCTAATAATTATCAAAAGTTTCTTGCAGACATTTTATCAACTATATCCAATAAATCTTCTTTGATTTTCTCAGGATCCATTTATTTCAATTTCTTAAATACTAATATATATAACACATTGCAGCCATAGTATTTATTGTGAATTAACCAATATATTATTAAAAATCTCACTATCCCATATAATGGTATCATCTTTTCTATTATTACATAAAGTAAAGGATCCAATAATAATATTACTCCCAATATCATATAATACATAATTTAACGTAACTAATCTTATTCACTATTCAATTTGAATTTCATTGGATAAATTATAGCAGTCAATAACCAAATTATTTTTACATAACTTAAAATCCATATACTCAAAAACAATAACAAATATAATCCCAATCGAATTAAATTATAATCATAATTCTTTCTTACAATCTTCATAAATATTTTATTCAATGCTATTTTCTAAGCAAAACGATTAATGATTTCCTCATCAACAATCTCATGTATTTACTTTATCACACTAACATATTCTTCATTCAAATGAGATTAATCATTAAAACTTTATTTTTATGAATTATTCATTATAATTAATAAATAAAATTCATTGATCTTTCTAATATTAATTTTTATTCCAATCAATATTCTCTAATTTTATTTAATTAGTTCAATTTATCATATAAAAATATATTAAAATGAACAAGATAAATAAACTTATTCAAAATTTATATATTGCTTTAATAAAAACTAAGGTTGTAAAAATACCTTAATTTAATTAATTATGATGATATAAAAAATTAGACTTAAATATATATTTAATTCTCATAATTATTTCTATAAAATACTTTATTTATCAAAAACAATTTATTTTTATTATATAAAATTTTTGCGTTTATTATGTTGAAGAAATTGTTATAAAATTATTAAACACATAATCCCTAATTATATAAATTTTTATAATAATTACTATTGTATCTTATATTAATTATGTAAATAAATTATAATATTTTGATATAAAATCAAAGTTAAGCTGTAGTCTTCTAAAAACTTTGGAGCATTTCCTCAGTTTTTGAGAAATTTGAGTTCCAATTTTGTAGTATTTGTGTATCAACAACTTTTGGGCCATCGCACACAGTTGTGATTTAAGTAGTTGAGACTTCATTTGACAATTATTCCATAGCATAAGCTAATAGAATGTCTTTTACAGAAACACCTGAGCATTCTGGTGTTGTCATCTCTACAGTAACTACATTTTCTTTTTATGTCCATTTTGGATAATCTAATAATTATAGATTTAAAAATATTACGATGCATTTCATCAGCTATAGTAGAAATTGATCCCATAAAAGCAAAAGTTTCTTTGAATGAATTGAATTTGAATTCTTTAGTTAACTTTGAGGAGTCACTTGATGTTTTCCAGGGTAGAGAATGGATCTCAAGAGCAGAATAGATTTGTTCGGAATTTAATTTGGTTACTGAGACAGATGGCACATCTTTGAAATCTCTAATGAATATTTTAAGAGAATTAATGATGGCTGGTGTTCTAAATCCAAGTTCAGAGATGTATCTATACATGTTGAAGTTGCTGAGATATTTTTATTATTACAATTGCTTCAAACTAAGAATCACTTTTCAAACCTTTATTAATGCGAACCATTATTTTTTCAAACGCAATATAATGATCAGTTATTTAATTTTTAATAATAATTAAAGCAATTTGCATATATAATCATATCTATTCAATAACTATCATCATAATAAGTTAAGAAACTATTTAAGTTTATGATAACTTTGTATAAAAACCAATAAAAAATCAAAGCTTAATTTAAAAAAAAAATATTTATAATACTCAAAAATGATAAAAATATGACAATATGTTTGACTCATTCATCTTATTGTTTAATTCAATATTCTACAATTTTTAAGACAATCAGATGACAAATATATGTAAATAATTATTTTCATATGAGTACTATATTTAGAATAAATAAAAAAGTAAGTTAAATAAAAGTAAATTCATATTATAGATATATAATTGAAATAGGATAAGCACTTAATATTATTGTAATTTCTATTATGTATATATATATGATTATTTGTTTAATAATTAGTTAATTTATATACATAGAACTTTTGAATAATTATAAATAAAAAAAAATATAATAAAAATAAGTATATACTTTAAACATATTTATAAATTCAACAGCATCCTTCTTTTTCTTTTTTATTCTCTTCACTTTGCTATCCAATTTTTTATCCAGGTGTTTATTGTGTTTTTTGAGGCCTTAAAATAATAAGAAAATTGATACCCAGTTCCTTTTGATCCTTGAGAATCCTTTTTGGCTATCAATTTTCTAGCTAAAGATAGAAAGGCTTTAGAGACTTAATCAGCAGTCTTGGCACTTACTTCCATATGTGCCATTTTTCTTATACTAGCATAGTCTAAGGCCTTTTGTGTAGTTACTCTATTATAGAGGAGATGGGCAATTACACTTTTTCCTCAATATCACTTTTATTTCCCAATAATAATAATTCAACATTTTTTTCAGCATATGAATCCACTTCGTTGATCCAAAATTTGTCAATGTCTTCAAAGGTAGCAAGGGAGGAAACATCATAGACTAAAACAATTCCATCAGCTCCCTTATTTTATATATTATTGAATACTTTATAATATGCACTTGTAATGGTTCTAAATCTCTCTTGACCAGCAGTATCCCAAATTTGTAATTTAACTTTTTTGCCATCAATTTCGAGAGTTTTAAATCTAAAATCTACACCGATTGTAGTTAAATAGGAATCACTAAAGGTGTCATCTGAAAATCTAAGTAGCAATGATGATTTTCCAACTCCTGAGTTACCTACTATCACTAGTTTAAACAAATAATCATATTCCTTGATCATTTTGATATCTTGATAATTTAAATAATACAACACAGAAGTTATCAGTATATATAAACTATATATATAAATTCATTCCACATTATTAATACTTGAAATCAATTTAACATGAGCATCACATAATTTTGGTGGATACAATTCTAAAAAGTTTGAAGGTTTATTTCTATAGATAACTAGTATGAGAAAATTGCCATCTTTTCTTTCTATTCTTGAACCTATCAATTATTTATCTGATTTAATTCTAAGAAGATTAATTAAAAATATACTATAATAATGTTGAGACAACTTTATTCTTAAGATTGTACAATAATAATTAAGACCCTTGAAATGATATATGTAATGAGTCATCATTAATTAGATTTAATTGAAGTGGTTTTGAATAATTGAGATCAATTATTTTTTCAATTTCAATTGAATTCATTTTATGAATTAATGTATAAAAATATCCCTTTTCAGTGATAAGATATATTATAGTTTTATGATATAACATCTTATAGATAGTGCCATTAATTTAACATTGCTATTTCCAATAATCATTATATTAATGGATAGTCTATCCAAATAATTTGAGTTGAGATTAACTTAATTATCTGAATTTATCTAATTCCCAATGAGTATATTTAGATATTTAATTAGCAGCTAAAGTGAAAATAAGATTAGCTGAAGTAATGATTCCAATTTCTTAATTAAAATAAGCCTATCCTATATTTATATTGAATTTTAATTTTGTAATTTTAGTAAATTGAACATCATTAGACTATTGGAGTATAAGTAGAGTTCCATCTTCATGGACAGCAATGTACTATTATTAATTTATTTTGCCTCATAATTTTATGGATGATACCAATAAAGATAATGGCTACAGAGAATGTTAGATTGTATTGTTTCTCCCGCCATTCTTATAGATTGAAATCAGCTTGATCATTTCTAATTCGCACAAGTAATCCATTTCCATTTTCCAAACCTAAGAGACACTATAAATATAGAGTTGAAAATCAAAACCGTGTCTTCTGAAATATTCTATCCACATAAGGCAGATGGAAAATTTTGTTTTAAACTATATCTCTTAGCTTCTGTGTAGGCTTCAAAGGTTTTATCAGTATAGCTAACAATAAATGATTTATTGTCAAGTGTGTGAATGTAAGTGGGTTATGTTTGGACTCGATTTTGAGATAGCAATTTAAATTACATATTATAATAATTAATTAAATATATATTAATAACAAAATACTTAGATAAACTTAGATAGTTTTTATTTAATCCTTAATATATAAACATTATGATATTACATTTAAGTTTAAATAGAATACTATATAATATATTATTATAATTTTATATATCAAATTGATTGATTTATTTTTATGAATATTCTTCATATGGTTTTATATAAATATATCTATATACATGAATTTTTGATAATTAATAAACTTTATGAATTAATAAATAATTGGAGAATATTGTATTTCTATATTAATATTTTAGTATTAATCTAATTAAAAAATAATAAACTATGACATAATTATTTAAATTATGTATAATATTCTCCTACTTGTTTGCATTATTACAATAATTCAATCCAAGCTTAAGGTTATTAGACCATCAAATCTGATTAATGAGCACATTGATTATAGTATTGCTAATTTTGGGTATTCTTTGTTATTTATGTAAACTAGAATTATACCATTTGGACATCGTTTGATGGGAACAGTAGATATGGCTTATCCATCAAATGGATGTAGTGATCTATTACCTACTTATGGAGCTCACTTTATTTTAATTGAAAGAGGGGACTGTACATTTGTAACGAAGGTTAGGAATGCAGAGAATGCAGGATATAAATTAGCAATTATTGGAAATTATAATGATGATCCAATCTAATCAGATTTTGCTATGGCTGATGATGGTCATGGATATTAGGTGTTTATAGAATGTTTATTATTAGGTGACAATCCCTTCCATATTCATCAAAAAGAAACACTTTACTTAATTATAAGATAAGGCAAGTAATTATAAAGTAGAGGATTCAAATGATGAGAAGATTATGATGCTTTTAAAATTTGATGTTGTTAAATCAGATGTAATATCAGTGATATTTGGATTGAATGTATAAGACAGAGAATCCTACAGAATTATTGATGAATTTGAACCATTTTACAATAAATTGGAATCTCAAAATATGAATTATACTCTAGTATATTCTATTATGAGTTTTCATTCTTCATATGAAAATTCATTACAAACAAATCCTGATTGTATTTGTTAAAATAGATATTGTGCATTTGATCCTGATGGACCAGCTATTGGAAGTGGAAGAGATGTAGTTTATGAAGTATTAAGATAAACTTGTCTATTTTAAAAGTATCCTAAGAAATGGTTTGGTTATATGGTAAATATATTTTAATAAAATGTAGGATTAATTCAATTTTAAATGTTCAAGACCTTAAGCATATTCTGCATGTAGTTAATAGGTGTTAGATATGTTGGAAATTCCTAAAAATGAGATTCAACAATGTGTTGATTAATCATTTATTGACTAAGACACTTAATTATAAACAAAAAATGAAACTAATGCAATCAATACTTTATTAGAATAATAATTATATATCTAATAAGTAGCAGGAATGAATGGATTCCCATCAGTTCTAGTAAATTCTTTAGCTTACAGAGGATAGTTTTCTGGAAGTGGAATATTTGGAGAGATTTGCAATAGTAAATATTATATTTATATATATATTAAATTAGGTTTTCTAACTACACCTGTTGAATGTAGTGCATTTGTTGATGAATATTAACCTCCTATTTTAGAATAATCGAATATTCTATATATCATAATAATAACTGCTTTTGTTGTATTTTTCCTTATACTTGGTTTTTGTGTTTTTAGAAAATTCATTGAAAGAGATAGTAAAATAGTTACTCAACCTTAAGTTAATGAGATGGTTAGTCAATACATTAAATTTTATGAGGGTAAAGATAAATAAAAAGAAGGAACTATTTGAAATATATAAATTTGTGAAATTTAATTTAAGATATTAATATTTAATACAAAAAAAAATATTCAATTTTTTATTAAATAGAATTATAATATATTTTATATATATCTATTTATATAAATTTATATCATTAAAAAAAATTCATATTCTTTTCAATTTATTCATTTCTTTTTTTTCTTTTATTTGAATTATTCCTATAATTAATTTAATGCAAATGTTTCTGTTTCTACTACTTCAGAATGAACACTTGGATCTGAATCAAAATCACCACCTTTAGATACATGAGATTGTGCAGTCAATGGAAATTCATTATTATCAAACCATTAATTATTGATTTCATTCTTTATGTTTATAAAGAATAAATCGTATTCATCAAATCCTATACTACAATCTCCATATTCATCTTAACATCCCCTTTCTAATTGTTCTTATGTTATACAATTAGAACCATAACAAAACAAATTTCTTAAACTTCCTTTTTATGTTTTCATTCTCCCTTTCTCATCTAATTAATATAATCCAAAACTATATTAAAATTAAACTAAATTCCCATCTGTATCCTTAATTTCTATTTAATTGCATTTGCATTCTTTTCCATCAATAAATTAATTTGAATTTGGTTCATCTTAAGAAAGTTAAACTCTAACTTCTTAAGTGGCAAGCATTTTCAAAAATAAGATTTTTGATTTACCTCTCAATCCAGTAAGATAATTTGCTTCTCCTTTCTTATTTATTTACTATTCTGGAATTGTAATATAATCATTCTAATGATTATTAAAATATGGTCTAGGAGGTTTGGTAAAATAAATTTTAAGCTCTCCCTTTTTGTATTCAGGTAATGCAACATCCTTATATTATCATGTCTTACTGTATAATGCCAAATATATTTTTATGGTACAAGTGATCCAAAACATGAACACTTCAATGATTTACATAATGGACAAGTATATACTTTTTAAGTATAAGCATTTATTTGTTCATTATTAATATACATAACAGGACCACTAAGTAATAATTCTGCACACTCGAATGCTTTTTGTCCACTACCTACAATATGTCTTGGATTTTATTTTAGTGTTTCGATCAATCCTTATTCTTAACAAAATATGTCTGCTGGGGTTTACTCTCTTCCTGTACAAAGTAATATATGCTTTAAAAATCATTTATTTATTTTTACTCTTGCTTTTATTGTTCTGTACTTATCTTTTATTTGAGTATCAGCTCTATATATAAATTATATTAATAATTTTACGATAAGTTTTGTGTTCTTATCTAAAACCATCCATCAGCTAACAGTCTGATTGCTATTGCTTCTCTTTGGGGATGAAATATTTGTAATTTTTTAAGTGTGTATATATGTTTCAACAACACACTACCTAACAATCTTAAGAAATATCCTGCTAATGATTTTGGTGGACATTTCTCTCCATATTATATAAGAGTCTTATAAGCCTGAGTATCTGTTAGATCTTTACAGATTGATATCATTTAGTTTGTTTTATGAAAGTACATTAATTTCAACAATTCAGTTGCTGGATATGTTGTATAATTCATTTTATTCTCTAAATTTCCAGACCCAAAACATTTCCCTTTCTCTACAATCCCTATTCCTAATCCATTCAAATATTCAGGCAATCTTCATTATACAATTAAAAACTAATACCTAGATGTCCTAAACAAATTATATAAAAATTTAACAGAAGCAGGTCCTCCTCCTATTATCAATAAGTTATACTTTTCTTCAATTTCCATTTTTTTTTTATTTATTTAAAATAAATAATCACTAATACTAATTTTCATAAATTTATTGATATCTACTAATTATTCATTATTTTATTAGTAAATGTATTATTAATTTGAATTATATATATAATAACAATAAATTTGAGTAGTATTTTAATTTGGAAATCATTTATAGCTATATCGTAATAACATAAAAATTATAATTTAATTAATCAATTATCCTTATACATCTTTAAGTAAAATTAAGTAAAAATAGAATCTATTTAGAATTAT